TAATCCCCTGAGCCATAGACGCTCTTTTAGACTAGATGTATGGATAAGTTTCAATTTTATAAAGCTTACACTTATAAAGAAGGTTATACTTGTGGGGTGATTCTTCGCATGATTCAAATACAGAGTTCTAGTTATGAGAGTTTGTTTTTCTTTACAGTATGGCCGCCAGCACATCGAAGTTGCAAAGAAATTGCAGAGGAGTGACAGTTCGGATGAGGAGGAACCCCTCGTGCCTGACGACAAGCCACCATCAGCTATTATCAAAGAGAATGGTGTTAATGGTATGATAATCTATATTTTATATACTAATATGATAAAGGGTAGACACATACTACTTTGTGACGTAAGATGTCAGCAATTACAGCATATTTTTGAATAATTCCTTCTTAAATAAAAAGTTCTACATTTAAGACATGCTTTAAGCTATATATTTTCACGCTATTAAACTTAGGGAGTTAATTTGGAAATAACCGACATGCGGGAAAGAGACAAAACTACAAGCTGACATCAAGGTTGCTATGGTAACGGTAATTTTTATCCAATGTCAAGGGCCTTCGTTGTCATTTGTGCATTTAAGTGACATTTGCAATTGAAATATTCACAAATGAAGCTTGTTTTACGGTATGGGAGACCTAGAAAAAGATGGGAAGGATTGTGTGAAAGGTGACATGATCACGAAGGGAGTGATGACTGAGATGATGGATGATAGTTATTGGAGGACGAAAACCCGATGCGCTAACACTATGGTAGTAGGATAAGGTAGAGGAGATGACGATATCAATTCGTCCAACGAAAACAGTTATAATTTAGATACGAATGTTGTGTAGGATGTATTCGATCTTAAGTCGATTGACAAATTTAGTAGAATAGTTAATCTCCGTTCGGATTTGAATGGTCTGCGATATTGAATGGCTATATTTATCATAATATTTTTTTAATTCCACACTGACTAAGTCGAGGTGACAGCTTTTTCGTGTAAAGAAGAGCACACCTTTGATATAACTATCGCATACGCACGATTGTCGATTGTTTCGCCACACAACTAAAAGCGAGTAATCTTACTTCTTACTATCTTACTAATATTATAAATGCGAAAGTTTAGATGGATGGAATGATGGATGTTTGTTAGAGTTTGTAGCCTAAACGGCTGAACGGATCTCCATGAAATTTGGCACAGATTTAGAGCATAGTCTGGAAAAACACATAGGCTACTTTTGTTACCCACCGAGTTGCTCGGAGCCTACCCTATGTCACTAAGACTAGGCCATAGTCAACCACGCTGGCCAAGTGCGGGTTGGTTGACTTCTCACATATCTTTGAATTTCTTCACAGATATGAGCAGGTTGCATCACGATGTTATCATTCACCGTTAGAACGTCGGGTAAATTATGTACATATGAAAATTCGAAAAATCGAAAATCACATTGGTACAGCGGGATTCGAACCCAAGACCTGTAGATTTCAAGTCAAGTGCTCAAACCACTGAGCCACCGACGCTCAATTCCCTTTATTAATACAACTCAATTTAAAAAATAAATTCGAACGTTTCCATTCCAGGCACGAAGACGACAGTTATCGAACGACAAGAGATACTCGGTCCGTCGCCAGAGTTGAACTATCGGCGGGTCCAGAACGGACATAAAACTGAACAAGGGAATGGTGAGGTGAGCAGTGACTTTTTTATTTATCCACTGATTAAGGTGAAATAGATACTAAATTTTAAGTGAAATATATTACTAACAATCTATATTTATCTATACTATTATAATAAAGTGTAAACACACACTTCTTTGTTGCCTAAGATGTCAGCAATTACACCATGTTTTTTATTAGTTTTTTTTTAATAAAGAGCCCCACACTTGCGTCACGCTTTAGGCTATTTATTTTCACGCCATTAAACCTAGAGGGTAAATATTTTGTATAAAAACCCTAATGTGGGAAAGAGACCATAAGTTGCTGCCAACATCAAGGAAGCAAGAATTATGTCATGTCATTTTGACATTCGCTATTAATGTTGAGTGCAAAATACAACCTCTTTGGCTTACAAGCAGTATGTATACAGCCAAAGAGGTTGCATACTGGCCATCAAGGCAATAATCGTTTGTAAAAGAAAATATATAAAAGAAGAAGTCAAGATGTGATCGACATAGTTTGGAGTTTTAAGTTGTTTGTATATTTTTTGTGTAAATAAGTTTTTCAATAAAGATATGTTAGAATAAAAAATGTTTTGTATTTTTGGCTGCCGCGCTGTCGGTAACAAGTTAAACAATTAATAATTTGACAAACGTAAACAATTAAATAAAATTTTCTTAACTTCATGCGTATTAATTTCAGACTAATCTAGAATTCCACTTCTATCACTGCATGGACCTGGTGAAGGCAGGCATGGAATCTATAATTGAGGATCAGGTCACCTCCGTCTTCGAGGCTGAAGAGTTGAGGAGTTGGAACTTACTAACTAGGACTAATAGGTGAGTACCCAAACTCGTGTTAATTACTACTAGTTGCTTGTGACATCGCTCGTTTGAAATTAAAAAAAAATAAGAAATATAGCCTTCGTATAACGTAGCTTTTTATGGTGAAAGAATTTTTGAATTCGGTCCAGTAGTTTTAAGTAATTTCAATACATACAAAAGTACAAATATTTCAATAAAAAAAGTATTAAAATATAGATTTGACAAGGTAAAAGGGACAAAGTAAAAAATTTAAGCAGTATTGGCAGTTCAATTAGTAATATAATGTGTCAAACTTGCAAGCGGCTTGAATCCACCGAAATGGAAAGCGACTGCACAAACATCCGCAATTGCAGCGCTGCCTACCCTTCATTGACGAAGACGCACATAAAGAGGACATTTACCCTTCCTATGCGTCTTCACCGACAAATCCATTCCTTCCCATCCTTTCCTCTTAAAAGGGTGGAAAGGGAAAGGGACTAAAATTAGGCCTCCGGCACCACACTCATCAGACTGTACGCGGAATTGCTTCCACTTCACGCCTGTCTGTGTGGTCGTGGTATTGCTGAGAGCCCTACAGTGCGAAGATGTTAAAGCGGGCTCTACCACTGTTACATTTTTTTAACCTATACGATGAAAGAGTTATACCTCTTTTGGATTTTTTTATAAGGCGCGACTAAACAGTTGTGCGTTGGTTTAGTCAAAGGTGTGCAAGCACTCTAAGTTTTATTACTTACTAGCTTTCGCCCGCGAATCCGTCCGCGTGGAATTAAATAAAAAACTATGTAGCCTATGTGGTCTTCCAGACTATCCTCTACATCTATGCCTAATTTCATTGTTGTTTTTATTATCTTTTTCAGACAGTATGAATTCTTAACTTGGAGGCTGACTATTATTTGGATGATGGGTTTTGTAGTCAGATATTTCTTCTTGTTACCTTTAAGGATATTGATTTTCGTCATTGGGGTAAGTATTATGTACTTATTAAAGTGTCATAAAAACTATTTTTTTTATATTTTTTTTAGAGATATTAGGTTTTAAAAAATCGGACTCAAAGGACCATTTTGTAAAATATCGAATTTTATGGTTATAATCAGTTTTTTTTTGGTATTGTGCTTTTCTGAATGTAGTATTTACACTTCAATGCAATACCGAAATTAAAAATATTAATTTACAAACAAAATTCAATTTCTATCACCCACCTGAATTGATCAGTTTCAAGAAAGCACAAAATTCTTTTAAAAATATATTCTACCAAAACCTACTAAAAGTTACCATTGCACCGGTAACACCAGGTGCTGACGCTGCTCTGCACGATGCTATTGGTGAGCACGCTACCAACGAAGCGATTGCGTCGCTACTTCGGTGCGATTTCCTACAAAATATCCATGAGAATTCTGATGAGAAGTCTCTCTTGTGTGGTGTACTACCATAATCTACCGCATCTACCGAAGGAACGCGGCTTCTGTGTTGCCAACCACACCAGCCCGATAGACGTGATAATACTCAGCTACAACAGTTATTTCTCTTTGGTAGTTTTTTTATTGTGTGAATACTCTGTCTGTGGTTGTCTGTTTGAGGGAATTGGGTTTCGTGTATTTATGGTTATTTGCATTAAAATTAATTTAAACATCGTTTAAAATACATTAGTATCCATTGAAACTTCAAACCTATATAACCATGAATACATAATTCCAGACTGTAATGGAACATTGGTGAATATTCCGGTACATTACGGTCTCCATCGGAATATTCCGGTACATTACGGTCTATATCGGAATATTCCGTTACATTACGGTCTGTATTGGAATATTCCAATATATTACGGTCTGCATCGGAATATTCCGGTATACGGTCTACATCGGAATATTCCTGTATTTTGGGGGATATTCCACATTAACGCATGCCGTCATCGCTTAGGTATGGTGGTTGATCATCAGCACAGCATGCGTGGGTACATTACCGGATGGGCCATTCAAGCAGCGAGTGAACCACGCCACTTCTATAATGAGTTTCAATTTTCTGTCAAGATGTATATCTATGGTTATTACATACCACGATGGGGAAATAAATAGGCCGAAGAATGGTATATGTGTAGCGAATCATACAAGTCCTATTGACGTTTTAGTGTTGATGTGCGATAATTGTTACTCTCTGGTAAGTAGAAACAATAAAATATGATTAAAAACAGTACTAACAGCCTTACAAATAAACGCGGTATAAAGTAAAACTTAGGAATAAACTGTGTATAAGTAAAATTTGTTCTAAAATTATAAACTGAGTATAAGCAAAATTTGTACTCAAATTATAAACTGAGTATTAGCAAAATTTGTACTCAAATTATAAACTAAGTAAAAATTTGTAC